TGACCCTCCCGCGCGTCTCCCTCCCTGCTGGACTCTGCCCCGGACGGACGGACGGACGGCGACGGGGAGCTGGGAGGGGGGAGGCGCCTTCGGGAGTGCACAGGTGGCCGGTGACGTGGGGACCGTGGGAGTCCCCGGAGCTGGACAAGGTCGGGGGAGGACCGAGCCGCACCCCCTCGGGGTGAAGCCGGCTGGCAGGAGCGCTGGTCAGCCGGCCAGCGCGTGCCCCACTTTCCAAGGCCCTTGCGCCACGAATAGCAGTCGTGTCCGGCGGGCAGGTCCCGGCGCCCTGACCGCCCTGACCGCACGTGGGGGCAGCGCCGAGCTTGTGGCTTTCCGGGAGCCGCGAGCCCGCGCGCTGTCAACCCCCATCTTGCAATCAGTTAGGTGAGCGAGGTTTCCAGGTTCCCGGGCGGCGCGAGCCCAGTGCGGTTGTGTAACCGGGTTCTCAGAACCCCAGTTGCGGGGAGCCGGGAAGCGTCGGCCCGGAGAGAGGTTCCGGTGTCTCCTGCCGCGGGCCCAGCGGGCCCAGCTCTTAGCGGGAGCTGCGAGCACCCGGCCGTGCCTTGTGGCCACTGCCGTCCTTTCAGTGGCCCGATTTTGTTTCCCCAAGTGGCAGCTCCCAAGAAGGCGCCCCTTCCAGCCTCGCCCCTCGCCCGCAGCGCCCTGCTTTGAGGGATTGTGCCGCCCTAGGCAGGAGCGGGCCCAGCCTGGAAGCGGGGGCCCTCTTCATGCTCCCCTTCTCTCGCCACCCACAGCTTTGTGCTTGTTTAAAATGAGAGAAACAAGGCCTAGAGCTGGACACGCCCCAAGGGGGCGGGAGGGTCCGCAAGGAAGGGGCCCAGGGCAGTGGCCCACCTCCCGGCCTGCGCCTGGCGTGCCCTTACCTGGTGTGTTCGCTGGGGTGCTACCCAGGGACAGTGGGCACTCTCCGGCACTAGCCTGCTGCCCCAGGACCACAGGGGCCAGGGCAAGTCTCAGGCAGTGGGGTACTGCCGCAGCCCCTGCAGGCCCTCTCCCAGGGGGACTGTGGTGGCGTGGGCGGGGCATGGCGGCCCCCACTTGTTAACACGGGCAGGTCCCCACAGGGTAGGCCAGGGCCAAGTGAAGGGGGACACTCTGTCCCGTTACCCGAAACCAAAAGTGAAGTGATAGGGTTTAAGTGAGTTGGGCGCTGAGGGTGGTACCCGGCAGGGCCCATGCGCTTCCCCCCCCAGCAGCGAGAACTCTGCGCCCCCCTCTGCACGGCGCCTCCTCCCCGAGACAGGGGCCGGCCCTCCGTTGGTCTTCTTGAGTCACCCCGGTCACCGGGTCGAGGTGTCTCGGTGCCCGCAGGCTGGGCTCCTCACCGCGACTTTCCCGTCAGGCTGCAGGCCAGCGGGCTCCCCTGGGCAGCCCTGTCCCGGGCAGCCAGGGCGCAGGCTCCAGGAGACCGCCAAGGTGCTCTCGATGGGAGCGAGGCCTCAGGGCCGGGAACCAGGGCCCAGCTGGCGCTGGCAGTCACATGGGCACAGGAGTGTTAGTGCTTAATGGGTTCTGCCTGGCGGCTCATCTCCACGGTGACGGGCAAGCTGAGGGGCTTGCTGTGCGAGGCCTAGCATTCACCCGGCACTGTCACCCCAGGAGTGCCCCCAGCCCTGGCCCATCGCGGGGCAGCGAGCATGGCCCTGACAGCACGCGGGGCCAGACCCTTGGCCCTAGGCCTGGGCCCTGAACCCCAGTGCGTGCGTGGCTGCGGGGTGGGCTGGGGCGTTCCCTCTGGGCACGCAGAGCGCCTCCTGCCTGAGCCCGGTGGAGAGGCTGAGGGAGGAAGGGCGGGCCCAGTCCTCCCTGTGGCCACCCTCTGTCCGGCCAGTGGCGACGGGCCCCTGCGTGCTGAGCTTCTCGGGAAGGTGTGGTGCTGCTCGCCCGCGTCGTCTCTGTCCCACTCGGGGCTCAGCGAAGGAAGCCGTGCCCTCTCGGGGCCGTGTGCACATCCCCGTCTGCGCCACGGACTCACCCGTGTGGGCCTGGTGATGCGGGACTGCGGGGCACAGCGGGGCTGCCTGTGGGCGAGCGCTGGGGCCAGCTCCACGGCGTGGGCTGCAGGTGGCTCTGGCCTGCAGAAGTTCCCTCGCAGGCTGTCACTACGGACAGCCAGAGGTGGCCCCGGCAGCGCGCTGGCCCGCATGGCTCTGCCACCCAGCCCGAGCCACGCTCGCTCAGCAGGCAGCGCTGTGCTGAGGCTCCCAGTGGCCTGATGATGCGGGGAGCCCCGAAGGGGCTGGGGGCCGCCGGCTGCCAGGTCGGCCTCGCCCTGGGCCTCCGAGGACGCCTGTTTCCCCGCAGCAGAGCAGTCTGTCTCGCCGGCCTGTCTGCGGGTCGGGCTGGGCGCGCGCTAATCCTCTGCACCCAGACGCACAAATTAAGTGTCCAGACGCGGCTGCCCAAGCGCAGGGTGAGGGAGCAGGCAGCTGAGGCGGCGGAGCCTTGGGCACAGCAAGGGGGAGATGTGGCAGCCGGGGGTAGTTTCCATGTGTCTGCTGCCTCAGGGGTCCCCCCACCTGTCTCTGGGATGCCTGCGTGCTCGGGGGTGCTCATCCTTGCCGTGCTGTGCCCCAGGCCTGGAGGCAGAAGGCCCGGTTGGTGGCCCAGACCTGGCCCCAGCAGGGGCACCTGGTGTCTCCGGAGCATCCCGGCCTGAATGAGGAGGGGGTGTGGCAGCTGCCCCCAGGCCCCAAGCTGCTGCCCAGCCTGGTGGCCTGAGGACTTCCGTGGCTGCATGCGGTCCCCACACCCCAAACCCCACAGGGGCATGCGGGGGCCTTTTCTGAAAATGAGTCTTTCTCCTTCCCTCTGTCCTTGCTGGTGACAGTCAGAGGGCACCGAGACCTGTGCCACACGACGGGGTGTCCTGGCATCCGTGTCGGTCTCGTACCGTGACTTCAGCCTCCTGCCCTGGGGGTCAGCGGCTGAGCAGGCTGTGCAGAAGCCGGGGCGGGGGCCGGACACCTGGCTGTGGTGCCAGCTCTCTCCCGCCCACCCTACCACCCCCACCCCCGTGTCTGGGGCCCGCTGACCAAGCCTAGTGGAGGGGTGAAGGGGTGGGACCGTGTGAGCGACATTTCAGATGCTCACATTAAGGAACCTTCTCATACACCCCTCGTTCACCCCAGGGCAACTCATCAGCCCCGGCTGGGGTGTGACGTTCATTTGATGCCCTTGGAGGGAGGGACAGCGAGGCGGCCTTTAGACTCTTGCTGTCTGACACGTCAGTCCCGTGGGTGGGTCCGTCTCACCAGCCCTGCTGTTATCTCGTGGCCCAGTGCCTGTCCCCCTGGGGGCCAGTGCGTGGGGTACCCCTGGGGGACATCTGTGCCCTGCTGGGCTGTCAGAAAGGCCGCCCCATGGGCAGGTTATGGACACGCCAGTGGCTCCCCCTGCTGAGACTTCACAGCTTTTGACATCTGCCCATCTCATTTGTTAGCGAGTTTTTTTTTTTTTCCTAAAGATTAATCTATTTGGGCAGACAAGAAGTGGAGTACAGGCGAGAGGTATCGCGAGGACTCACCAGACAGTGGGGAACAGAACAGGCAGATTGAAACCCACTGCTGCGGGGAGCAGCGGGGAGACAGGGGAGGTCTGTTGCACCCCTCAGGTCACATCCTGGCCGGGGATGGAACTCGTGCTGCGGTGGCTGCGCTCTGACCCCCCGTGCCACCAGGAGGGACCGCCAGCGAGTTTTTAGTTTGCTTTGAGCTACACAGGCCTTTAAACACCCGCAGCTTTTGAGTGGGAGTCAGGCTGCTTCATGTTCGCTTCCAAGCGCTGCGCGGGCCCAGCGCCCAAGCCCCAGCTCAGCTCCAGAGGGACTGGTCAGGCCGGGGCCCGCCGGAGTGGCCACACGTGCTGCCGGGCTGGCCTGGGCGCCCACCATGTGTCCTGGCTGAGGCCCTCTGGGCCCGGGACCCTGCTTGTCACCCGAGTGGACTGTCATCTCGTTGGGCCACAGCTCCCTGTAGCCCAGGGGTGCTGAGTGGGGTGGGGGGCCTCGAGCCTGGCACAGCTCAGAGCGAGCCCCTCTGACCCTGGGGTTCAGCTTGCCTGTTGGTAAGAGAAGCTGAGTCAGGGTTGTCCCAGGGGTGGGGAAGGCAGTTTGCCCCTGGGGGGCACAGGCCAGTGTGGTGCTCGCGACTGGAAGGCGGTCATCCTCCCGTGCTGGACACGGGCCAGAGCGAGGCGGCCGGCGAGGCTCCCGGGTCTCTGGGCCGTGGCTTGCCCATGCGCCTCACCTGAGCGCCTGAGGCGGCACTGGCCTCCCAACCGCCTGCCCCTGGGAGAGGGAATCGGGGGTGGCCAGGCACCTCCGTGGGGCCCGGTGGCAGGGCGGGGAGAGGCTGGCGCGTACCCGGTGGCGACCCCATGCCGTCCCCCGCTTCCCATGGCCGCAGTTCCTCCGCGTCACCAAGCAGTACCTGCCGCACGTGGCGCGCCTCTGCCTCATCAGCACCTTCCTGGAGGACGGCATCCGCATGTGGTTCCAGTGGGGCGAGCAGCGGGACTACATCGACACCACCTGGGGCTGCGGCTACCTGCTGGCCTCCACCTTCGTCTTCCTCAACTTGCTGGGACAGCTGAGTGAGTGTCCCGTGGCCCCTCCTGGCCTTGCCCCGGCCTGGCCCCAGCCTTCCAGTGCCGGTGCGCGTGGGGGTGGGGTGCGGCGGGCAGCGGGCAGCCGCCCTGAGACGCGAGCGTCCCGAAGGCCAGCTGGGGCGGTGGCGATGGCCCCCCCAGGGAAGAGTGCGGGGCCTTGGTCTGCTCCCTGGCCCCTGGGCGCAGGAGGGACCCCACCTCCCAGCCCGCCCCAGGCTGGCTCTGGAAGATGCCAGAATCCACTTCCCTGACCCGCACCTTTGATAAGCAAATGCCAGCGTGGGTGTGGGTGTCGCAGCCGTGCCGGTCACTCACTCTACCTGGGGGCCCGTGGGTCTCTGACCTGTGCCCTTCTCCCTTGCAGCGGGCTGCATCCTGGTGCTGAGCAGGAACTTCGTGCAGTATGCCTGCTTCGGGCTCTTCGGGATCATCGCACTGCAGGTGAGGCGCCCGGGGCTCCCCTCCTGCCCCGGGGGAGCAGAGCTGCTGCAAAGGCACCTTCCAGGCTTCAGCCCGCTGCTGGGGGGCAGCTGATCCCCCAGGGGCACATGCTGAGGGCTGTCGGTGAGCCGCTCGCCTGAGCCGTGCCCTCAGCCCGTGTTCTCCAGGACACCGGGCTGGCCCGAGGCTCCCGACCCCAGTGGGTCCGTCTTCTCACCCGCTGAGAGTCAGCCGAACTCCGTTGTCGATAAAAGAGAAATTCATTTGAAATCGCTGACCCCAGTTTCTCCCCCCCAGACGATCGCCTACAGCATCCTGTGGGACCTGAAGTTTCTGATGAGGTAGGCGCCTTCTGCGTGGGGAGGGTGGGCGGGAGCTTCCCTGGGCCAGCCACCTGGCACGTGCACCCCTAAGACGTCAGTGGGGTGCGGGCGTCTCTCCCAAGCCCCATTTCACGAGGTGGGGAGTGAGTCAGTGAACCCCCAAGTGGCTCACTGGGACCCAAAGCCACAAGCAGGTGAGGGCCGGGCCCCGGCTTGCTGTGGGTCCAGACGCACCACGGCTGGTGGCTGAGGCTCCCCTCGGTGACCCCAGGCCAGGGACTGCTGACACGCAGGGGACCCAGGGGCCCTGCGGGCCCAGGGCTCCGGTGTGGTCAGGCCCCGCGTCTCTCGTTCCCAGGAACCTGGCACTGGGAGGCGGCTTGTTGCTGCTCTTGGCAGAGTCCCGCTCTGAGGGGAAGAGCATGTTCGCGGGGGTCCCCACCATGCGCGAGAGCTCCCCGAAACAGTACATGCAGCTCGGGGGCAGGGTCTTGCTGGTCTTGATGTTCATGACACTCCTGCACTTCGACGCCAGCTTCTTTTCGGTAAGGGCCCCACCCGCCGTCTGCGTGCCCACCCCTCCCACCCCGGCGCTGAGCCTGGCTGCGTGGCCCTGGGCGGGGCCCGGCTTCCAGCCCACCCAGCCCTCGCCCCAGGAGCCCAGCTCTCCCCACCCCGGTGGGCGGGGGTGCCGGTCCCAGCAGGCTCCTGCTCAGATGCCTCATCTTCCTCCCCACCGGTGTGCGCCAGGGCCGGGGTGCAGAGCTGAGGTGTCCTCATCCCCTGGCATGTCCTTGGTGCCCAGGCCGGGCTGTCCCGGCAGTGTGGGGGCACGTCTGCCCTCACGTGGCCCAGCTCTGGGCCCCAACGGAATGCCTCCGCTGACCCCAGCCTGCGGTGGCCACCGCCGCGCTGCCCCTCTCCCTGCCCCGGCGGGGCGCTGGGACACCTCCGAAGCAGCACGGCCCCTCCTCATGCCTTGCGCCCCCGCAGATCCTGCAGAACATCGTGGGCACGGCGCTCATGATCCTCGTGGCTGTCGGCTTCAAGACCAAGCTGGCCGCGCTGACCCTGGTCGTGTGGCTGTTCGCCATCAACGTGTACTTCAACGCGTTCTGGACCATCCCGGTCTACAAGCCCATGCACGACTTCCTCAAGTACGACTTCTTCCAGACCATGTCGGTGATCGGCGGCTTGCTGCTGGTGGTGGCGCTGGGCCCCGGGGGCGTGTCCATGGACGAGAAGAAGAAAGAGTGGTAACGGAGCCCGGCCCTGGCCAGCCCGGCCGCGAGGACTGTCGGTGGAGTCGAGAAAACTGCCAGCATTTATGTCCCCCCTCCCCGGTAAAGGCACAGATGTTTCGAGGACTAGACTTGCAGACACCGCAGGTGGACGGCGCCGCGCCCCTGGGAGCGGCAGCTGCTGCGTCGGCCGCACTCGCCTCGGTGGGGGCGGGGGACCCTCACGTGTACTGTGAGCAGATACATTTTCTGTATCATTCCACGCAGTCTCCCTCTTGTTTGTTAAGTTTACGTTTTTAGCTAAAACTACTAAGTGATCTGGGTGGCCAGGGGCGGGGCGCCGCACTGTGTTGGGGCGCAGTGGCACGGGGGAGCCCCGAACCCAAAGAGCGAGGGCAGCGTCAGGGCGGCAAGGATGCTGTCCGGGCAAGTCACTCACGAGCCGGACACCTGGCCGGAGCGGGCGCCCAGGCTTACAGGGTAGCCCACCCGGGAGCTTGGCAGCTCCGGGGCGGAGGGCTCAGAAACCTGGGGGCCACTGGCACCCTACCCCTCGTGCCCCACCTGCAGCCTGACCGCACCCCTGACCTGCCTGGGAGGAGCAGCCGCCGCCCAGGGCAGGGCAGCGGCCTCAGGCCCCGCCGTTACCTCGCGCGGCCTCGCCGCGCCGTGTCCGCCACAGGCCTCGTCTCCGCGCAGTCTCCGCGCGGCCTCCGCTCGGCGGCCATTTGCCATGCTGAACGCAGCCACGATTACTTCATACGATTTGTGATGCCTTACCGATTGGATCTGAATCCTGTATTTAAAAGTTTTCTAACATTGCCTTATCCTGCGTTTCTCTTCTTGGGGGGCAAGGGGTGAATGCCGCGTGGGGACTGTTGGGTTGTCCTCCCTGGGCCCCCGCCCCCGAGACTGCCTCCTTGGAGGCTGCGAGCAGCCGGGCCTCACGCCTTCTCTGGCCTCAGCTGAGGGCTGTCAGGGTGAGCTGCGGTGTCCCCCATGGCCCAGCGGAGGCCCGGTGCTCCCGCCTGACTCCCACTTGTGCCCCAGCATACGGCACCCCGAGTGTCTGCTCCCCAGTCTGAGTATGACAAGGTGAAGAGGTGCTCGAGGCCAGCGGCCCGGGGCGGGGGCTCCGCGGGCAGTGGGGTGGCCTGGCCTCTGCCCGCGCCCTCCCCTTGGCATGCACCAGGCACGGAGCACCCTCAAGCCAGCCAGCGTCCGCCCCCCTCCCGGAAGAGCCTCCCGACCCCGGCAGGCATGGAGGACCCTTGGCCGGCGCCGCCGTATGCTCCCAGCTCCCAGGCCCTGCGTGGGGCTCGCCAGGGCGCCAGGAGAGGGCTGAGACCAGCCGGTCTCTGCAAAACAACCCCAGGACAGGCTTGGTGTGGGGAAGAGGCGCAGGTCCCCTCCTACGCTGTATTTTGCCTTGGTTACGTATGGAAACCGACTCGGGAAAGTCCAGACAAATGGCGGCATCTGTCGGGTGGTGCAGCCCCGGCACGGGGCCCGCGCGCCCCAAGGCGCAGTCGGCCGCACTTAGGCCCTCGCGTGATGAAGACCTTGGAAGCCACGTCCAGGCGGTTCTTGGGGTCCCTGTTGCCCCCCGAGTGTGTGGGGGAACCCGACTTCTGAGGAACGGCCCTGCTTGTCTCCGGGCAGCACCTGGGAGCGGTGCACGAGCGCTGGGTCCTGGCCAGCAGGAAGGACGCCTCGGGCAGCCGGGCGGGCAGGCGGTCGCGGGCCTCCGGGCGTCTGGGCGACCTCTACTAACCCGCCTGCTTGAGGGCCACGCCGCGCGGAGGGGTGCGGCCACGGCCACGGCGTCTCAGCTTCTGGGAGGCGCCCAACTGCTGCTGCAGCGAGAACGGGGTCCGTCTGTCAGTGGAGCGGGGCCCGGCTTCCGGGAGACCGCTGGGTCCCCTCCCCCGTGGCCCCGCTGCCGGCTGGGCTCCGCGAGAGCCACAGGCGGGCTGAGGGCCGCACTCGGGCCCCGACTGGCAGCCCCACGGCTCTGTGGCGGGGAGCAGCCTCGCTCGGTCCAGGGACACGGCAAGGGGCAGGCTCTGCAGCCCTGGGCTCCAGCCGCCCTCAGCCAGGGGTCTGCCCGGGGGGGCCACGGGGAAGCGCCCCGGCTGGGCCTGTGCCCTTGGCCCGGGACCCCTGGTGAGGAGCTTCTTTACTTTTAAAAGAGGCGAGCGCTGGCGGGGAGCTGCCGCACCCGCTGTCGCGGGCCCCACTCACCTTCCTGCGCTTGGGGCACACTCCTGTCCCCTCGCTGACCCCAGGGGCCTTCTCTCGTGGGCGCCTGGGCCCCCTGCCGCCATCTGCCTGAAAGGTCTCAGCGCTGCCCTCTGTGTCTCCCAGGTCCTTTTTGGTGAATAGCTCAGCTGCAAGGGACGGGGTGGAGGAGCAGGCTTGGGGCCACGTTCACCCCGATGCCAGGGATGGGGCAGCAAACTGGGGCCCAGGCTGGAGGCCAGCACGGCGGCTGGGCACCACGCGCTGCTGCCCGGACAGCCCTGAGCCACAGAAACGCCGCCCAGCCCAGCAGGGACGCGTTCGGCTTACGTGGGTACAGGTCTGTCATGCTGTCGTCGCTGTCACTGGGGGCGGCGTCGTCGTCGCTGGACGCGGGTTCCCAGAAGGCGGTTCCGGGGCCCGGTGGCCCCTCGCCGTCCGCCTGCCCTTCTCTCCTCCTCTTCCTCTTGTGCAGGAGGCAGGCGGGCACGTACTCCACGCCCTGCTTCTGGCACTCGTCATCTGGAGGGGCCGGCACACTGCCCGTTCTCTCTGGGCTCCACAGACCCCACAGGGTGGGGTGCCAGCTGGTCCCTGGCTCTAGGTCTCATCCCCTTCCCCAGCCCAGGTCCCTGAGTGGAGGTGGGCTGGCCCCCCAGGCCTCGCACACGGGGCCCTGTCCTGACCCACGCCCACACCCCACCCGGCTGCCTCTGCCGCCCACTCTGGGCCAACAGCGGCCTCACCACAGAACCGGCCTCAACATCAGGCCTGCACACGGCGCCGCGCCCGGCAGCCATGCCCACCTCGGCAGCCTTCTTCACTTCCCTGCTGCCTTCCCTTCAGGAGCAGGTCGCCCGGGCTGGCCCTTTCCTCCTCTGTGTCTCTGTTCTGAGGGGCTTGCCCCTTCTCGCGCCTGACTCCATGGGCTCAGGAGCGCCTCTGTGCTGACACCCCCAACTGCCGCCTCCCTGACACCTGTGCTCCAGAGGTCCCAGGGACCGGGTTTCCCGTGGTCTCCAGGTCTCCCCTGCTTCCCAACCTGCTCCCAACCTGACGAGCTCCCCCCCCACGCAGCTCCCCATTGTGGACCTGGGGCATGTCCCTGCCTCCCCTCACTGGCCAGTCCTGCAGGACAGCTGAAAACAGGCCATACCTGGAAGGCGGCACCGTGCCCACACCTGGTGACCACAAGCCCCCCCGCCCACTGCCCCCCCAGCGTGTGTCCTGAGACGCACCCAAGCACGTCTGTCCCCTCCGCTTTAACCCCTCAGGGCAGGCCCACTGCCGGAGCTTGCGTCCAGCCTGGCCTCTGCGTCTGCGTCCCCACGGCTCTCCAGCCCCTGTGGCCTGGGGGCGTGAGGCGCCATCAGGGTCCAGGCCCTACTCCAGCACCCCCGCCGGCCTGTCCCAGGGCAGGCCCTGCCTCTACCCTCATCATCCCTGGGCCGGGGCGCCATGCCCCACCAGTGCGGCAGAGTGGGCAGCTACTCACACTGGCGCAGCGCGCGCTGGAAGCGCCGGCCCTGGGTGTGCCTCTGCACGTGCGCGGGGTCCCTGTTGATGTGGCGCAGGGTGAGCCGGCAGAACAGCTGGCGCCTGTGGAGGGACAGCGGCGTGGCCGGGGCTGCCGCAGCTGCGTCCTGGAGTCAGCCGCCGGGGCTCCCCAGCCCCTCCACAGGGACGCGTGTGGGCGGCCAGTGACCCAGCCCAAGTGGCCTCTTGTCCAGCACCTGGGGGAGCCTCTGCGCCTGCCGGGGGCACCCCATCACTCTCCACCAAGCCCCCCAAAAAGAGGCAACGGGGCTGGCTCAGTCCCGGCAGCCAGCGAGGCGCTGCTGCCAACAAGGGACTCGTGGGGGGCCCCGCTCGCGGAGGGTGGGCTGGCCGGTGAGGGGCGCGCGGAGGACGCACTCCGCGCAGGAGGCGTGGCCCCCCCACTCCCGGGGCCCACCGCGCTCCGGGCTGGCCGGCCTGCGCGCGCACTTACGGGTTCTTGGTGCTGGGCACGACGTGCGGCTCGAACTCGGCGTAGTCGAAGGCCGGGTTGGTGCGGACCAGCCGCTGGTACTTCTTGCCGCGGGTGTAGACCTGGAGCTCCGGCAGGCGGCAGGGCAGCTCGTGGCCGGTCAGCGCGCACCGCACCTGCGGGCGGGGCGGTCAGGGGCCGGCCGG